ATTTAAGTTATTTTTTGGCGAAATGTGCATTTATTTACTATTTTTTTGGCCAAATACGCATTTATTTGCAATTTTTTTCAAAATATGCATTTATTCATAAAAATCTCYAAATATGCAAAAATATGCAAAATAAAATTGAATGTATCTGATTCTATGTCACACAAAACAAATTTATAACTTGGTCTGCAAAGTGCACAACTAAAAGAAAAAATATGCAAAAGTCATAAACATCCTAACCCTAATAATAATGTATTATTAGTAACACAGTTAATGATTATCATTTTACATAAATAAACAAAAAATCAGAACATTTTATTAAGATCCTTTAAAAGAAATTGTTTGAACATTGTTACATAATTTATTTGTTTTATGAAAATCATWGTTTTGCCATCAATATACCAACATGATTATAACATAATAAAATAAAATTTCAAATTATAAGTATTGACTATTTGTCTATTTACTTTTTTCCTATAAAAGTATAAACTATATCACATACTAAACTTAACCACTTATTAATATATTTGATACGGAGAAATATTGAATTTTTAGATTATAGACTGCTAAGATAAATTGTATAATATGACTCGATGGTGGGTTAACAATAAACCTAGTTAAGTAATAAATTATAAAATTGTCTACAATGTAGACATGGGTATTTGCAGATTATAAGGACAATATATAGATGGATAGACTAGATAAAAAATTTTAAAAGATAACCTTTTTTTCTTTCCAAATATTGTCTCTGCGTCTGGTGTTCCTTTAGTTGGTAGTGGTTTTTTCTCTTTAAAAGCAGTAGTAATTGGTTTCTGCATTACTTGAGCCAAATCTTTATAATCTTCCTCTTCTTGTCTATTGTTGATATCCAGAGTCAGTTGCTTAACTTTTCTTAACTCTGCCTGTTCAGCCATTTCTTGGCTCTTCAGATTTGACGCTAATTCAGAATCCACTGGCACTTGTAAGTTCTTGAACGTTTGTTTATTTCCTTTTTTCAACATCAGTATAAAATTTACTGAGTTATCTTCATTAGTATTCTGTAACTGCTCATACGTCTTTTTACTGTATTTCTTCAAATGGAACGGTATTGATATTTCTGTTTGTGGACGTGTTGCTTCTTTTGTCCGTTCTTGAATATTATCGCTGACCATTTTATCAAAAGATTCTAAAAACTCAAAGTCTTCAGGRTCTTCAATTTTACGACGGACAGGCTCAACTGGAGTTTTATCACTACAAACAGTACCATCACTATCTTCATCTTCTGAATAATCRACATCAGAGTCATCCTCTTCTAAATTTTGCCTATCGTCGGTTTCTTCGTTAATAGTTGATAGTTGAGATTCTTCTTTTTGTTTAAGGTTATACTGTTGAATAAGTCTTTCTTGAAGTAGAATGACTACCTTTTGAGCTTCAAGAAAACAGTTTTTCATCTTAAAATTAGGTCGAAGTTTTTTTAATATGTCTGTAACTAAGTAATCCATTGTAACAGGAAAAGGGTTTTGAGTATCCCAAGTAGTACTTGATTTTTTTAACCAAAAATAATATTGAAAATATAAAATAAAGCAATCTAATTTCAATTTACCAGGTCCTCGATTGAAAAACTCACCACAAGTATCGAGTAAAACACATATAAGTCTCAGTCTAAATAAATTTTCAGGAGGATCAAACGTGGAATAAAAATCCGGGTCATACACTACACCAAATGACACAAGACTATATAATACTTTGAACACATCATTGCTTTCTATTAGTCTATAGTTGTATAGCTCACCAAAATACTTGATCATAGCTATTCTTCTTTGATTAAATTTCACAAAGTTTGTTTCTAGACCCACACGGATATCTTCCATAACCCCATCCACGACACGTGTTCCAATTGAATCATCATAATCAACAAAAGCGGCAACTAAACATGCCAAATCTGAAATCATTGGATAAGTGACATTCCAAGCTTCAGTCAAACATTTTATCAAATAAGTTTTCTCTGCAGAATTTTCCCAGTCCATTTGCTTAAGGAGTCCTAGAATGATGTTCTCTTTTTCAGGTGCATCTTTTAATTCATTATAAAGCAAATGTCTGATAAACTCGTGTAATATAGGTCTCTGTTTTTTCATTATAGCTGGAGAATCAGTAGGATTAACAAAATAATAAGCATTTTCAATCATTGTGACATATACGGGCCTCAGAGCTGAAATAGATTTGACTCTCATCATTTGTTCTAAGTAAATTTTAGTACGGTGATGACTTTCAGGAGAACGGTACAAAAACCGTCCAGCTGTTTCTAATAAAGCACAACCCATTTCTATATGATGATGACTGAAATCATTCAGTAACATTTTAAAACAATGCAACGCTTCAGATTTAATCATAAGGTTAAACTTAACCATTTCTCCAATATAACGAACAACTTTAAGTTTAGTTTCAATATTAATCTGATCTTTTTTCTTAACATTATACCTAAAATCACTTTTTAATAAAGAGCAAAGTTCAAGAGCAACTTCTGGCATTAATGGATTTAAAATAGCTACTAATCGTGTGTAGAATGGTAACAAATCTACTCTGGTTCGAGGGACACTGAATAAAACTTTAACTAATTTCTTACGATTATTCTTGGTATTGAGATATATTAAAAATTCAATGGCCAAATTGTCAATCATTTCTCGATTAACACATTTAGGTAATTGTTCAACAAATGATTCAAATATAACTTTGGTACCAATATTGGATACTTCAACATCCGCAGCATCTTTAACATCTGATAAACTTTTCTTTAGATTACATTCAGCTTCAGGTTCTTCAGGTTCTTCTATCTTCTTGTTTTTATCAGGAATATAATTACTAAGATTTGGAAATTCTTCATAAAACTTTTGAGTTTCCTCATCTTCCCATAGACTAGTTAATTCTGATAGTGTTGATGTTCCTACAATATCTAATTCTGAATCGGTCAAATCCTCAGTTGAACTATTTTTTTTTTCTTCTTTTAATACAATTACTGGTTCATTGAGTATGTCAGCAAAAGTTAATGCAGAACTATAAAGTTTTTGATATGTAATATTCATTTGTTCATTTTTAGCTTTACGTTCTGGCCTTAGCTCACCTTTGGTTTGTAATATTTTTTCATTTTGTTTTTCAGCATACTCTAAATCGTTATGCATTCTTTTTATATGATTTTTTAACGATACATAATAATCTTTCAACAATGCTCTTACATTTTTCTGTTTGTCACTGGAAATCATATTACTTTTAGGTATCTCGACATCAAATTTATCTGCTAGATCTTGCATTTCTTTAGGAACTAATCCAGCATAGTCATCACCACAATACTTACAAAAGCTAAGTATGATATTTAAATTGTTATGTTCCTGAAGATCAGAGTTAATCAGGATAGTTAAAATATTGCCGAGTAAGACAAGACCTTCTTTTTGAGGTATAATACCAGCAGATGTAAGTTCAGCAAATAATCTAAGATCAACCCTGAATTTGCTCATATTTGTTATTTTTTCATCTTTTTTGATATTTAATATTTTTTGCCACTGTTCAAAAAAAATTTTTGAAAAATCAGAGTAAGTTGTATTTAATTGAGTGCATAATAATATCATGGCATCAATTTCTGTCATTTTCAATTTGATTTCGGTAAGAGCTGACACAACTTCTGATAGATATTTAGTCAAATTCAAAGAATTCATATCTTTGAGTAGCTGATCAAGTTGAGGAGGAGGGAAATTTTTAAGTTTTCTTATGAATGCTGTATTTTTTTTCAAACTAGAATCACGTTTAGATATATCGGATTCGTCCGGGAACACGCATTCTTGATTATTTTGTCTCAATGTTTTTTTTTCTTCTTGCCTGGCAACACACTCTGAAATAAAGTTCAACAATGTTTCTTTCTCTTTTTTTTCTATCTCTTCTTCAGTTTCCATTTGGGGGGTAGCCACAGGTGGCAATTCTGTAGATTCATTAATTGCACTGGTAGATGGTACGACAGGAATATTGCCAATTGACTGTCGCACATTATCGACAACTTTGGAAAGCTTTTGTAATGACTCAGATACTTCTGAGGGAATTTTAGACCCTTTAGTTTTTTTAGTACAGTCGTTCTTCATGATTTCATAATAGAGACAATACAATTATTTCTCACTAAATTAAATTTCTTTTGATTAATTTTTACTGAGTTGAATACATGAAATACATTTACACTGTATTTTTAACATTAACTATTAAAAACAACTATAACGATATTAAAATTCTACTTTTTATTAGATGTATTACTGTGATTATACTCACAATTATTACTATTGACGTGTGTAAAACTGTAACTTATGGGCTTAGACACTGAGACCCTTAGACACTGAGCAGGTTTTGAGTATTGACACCATAGAAAAAAGAATAGGAAGCTAAGTAGCTTGAATCTTAAGCAACATAAAATTACTATCAATAAATGACAACAATCACAAGGAAAGATTGTTGAAAGTTGAAACTTGAAATGTTGAGCGAAAACGAATGAATGATGTTTACGTTATTTAAACGTGTGTATCATTGTTCTATGGTATCATTTTTGAATTTTTCAAACATTTTATAGGTTAACAGCGTATGATAAGAAACTGATATGTTAAAGAATCTCGTGTTTACAGTTCACACTATAAAATAATAGTACACTACTCTACTTGAAAAGTTAAGAAGAACGAGAAGAAGTCACTAAGTACAAAATAAAAATAATATCAGTCATTGCTAATTAATACTTCAAAATGAATACATTTGAATCGAATTCACAGGATAATAACAACACAAGTTCAGACGAGGAAGATGAAGACGAAGAAGCCAAGGTTTATATTTTCTTTATAATATTTAAATTTAATTAATTAATAATAATATATATTCAATTGTTGGTCTGTTTAGGAATTAACTGATGATATTGAGAAAAGTTTTTTTAAAGCATTGTCTTGTCTCAAGAAAGATGATCCCAAGATTTATGATGAATCTGTTAAATTTTTTGATTCGTCAACTACACAACAAAGTACCAAAAAATCCATTGATGGCAGTAATAAAGGTTCAAATCCTATATATTTAGAAGAATATAAAAGAAAAATTTTGTTAGAGCGGGGACCAGAATTTGATGACACTGAAGAAATGAATGGTATGTAGTTTAAAAATATTTAAGCCATTTAAGATTATGTTATAAATGATAAATTCCTATTTTTATTAAAATTTAAGATAGGTTTTTTAAAATAAAACTTACAATAATGTATGTAGTTACCTAGGTAGGTAGTTAAAATATTTATTCTTTAATTTAGATGTTCTTAAGAAAGAAAAAGTTCGAATGTCATCGCCTTCATATGTGGAGGAACAGCAAGCTATTAAAGAAAGTTTTAATTTTGCTCTTGATGATAATTCTGATGATGAAGATATAATAAAACCACGATTAAAGTCAAAAGAAGAACAGGTAAATTCAATAAATTTCATAAGTAAATAATTTATCAGTATTGTAAAACCTAATATTAGAGTTAATTGATATTAAATATATAATGTGTAGAATATTTTTTTCAATTTAGGAAAAAGAAGAAAAAGATTATTTAGAATGGTTAAAAGGAAATCGAGATGAACTTGAAGATGAGGAAACAAAAAGAGATCTTCAACATCTGCATGATTACTGGAACAATCCTAATTTGGATGAAGGAGAACAGTTTTTATGTGATTATATCCTTAATAAAAGGTATTAATAATTTATTCCCAACATGTTTATGTGTATATATACTATTCATTTTATATTTAAATTTATTAGATTTCTAGAAAACCCAAAAGAAGAAAGTTTATTAGAGGATGAAATGAGATTTTCTGAAGAAGATGAAATGCTTGAAAAACATGAAGAATTTGAACACAAATATAATTTCAGATTTGAAGAACCAGATAAAGAATTTGTAAGAAAATGTTAAAGATATGTGTACAATATAAAAAACCACATCCCAAGTTAAAAACTGTTGATGACGCACAGTCGTTGGTTGATGTAGACGTACCTACATAATATTAAATATGGCCTGATTTGKCTTTATATATATAAACAAATGATGGACAGTAACTGATTTAACACATTGAATTTATTTTTATTTTTATATAGATTGTGTTACTTATTTATATATATAAATAACTTAATTTCATGTAGTTATTTTAATAAATAAAAAATTAGTTTCTATAGTATGGATTATGTAATATAATAATTCAATAGACATGGAGATATCATTTTACTATATTATAATAAATTAGTATACATTAAAATAAAATAAATATATATTAAAATTATAAGTTTATAAGTTAAATAACTTTGTAAAACTTAAAAATGATTTGTTTTCAGATCAAAACTTATCCTCGAACAATGGAAAATTCTTTAAGACGTAAGGAAGATAAACGTAAGAAAAAGCGAGAAGAACTGACAGAAAGAAAAAAAAAAGAATTAGAAAAACGGTCCCTAGAAATCAAACAACTTAAAAAGCTTAAAAAAAAAGAAATCATTGATAGGATTAAAAAACTTCAAGAAATAACTGGAAACAAGCGTGTAGGATTTGAGGTGTGTTTTATTATATTACAAATTTGTTATTAAGGCTACGCTATACTCTAATGTGTTGCCTCAGTCTTACTAATGTACAACAAAGCAAAAACTATTTTATGTGGAATAGAACCATTCAGGCTATAGTCATAACTAAGAAACAAAATGTTCACACTGTAAAAAAAAAACATTTATTGTGCAACATAATTTTTATTTTTTGATATTGCAAATAAAAAAAAAAATGTATAGTTAAAAATCATTATTTTAAACTTGAATACATTTTTTATAACAATAAAATAAAAACAATGTTGCACAGTAAATGGTCTCCTTTTTATATTTTAGAAATTTTGTTCCTTAGTTATGACCACAGCCAAAGTGGTTCTATCCTGTGTAAAATAGTTTTTGGTATGTTGTATGTCTGTAAGACAGAGACAACACATGGGGGTATAGCTTCCTCTTAAATTATTCAGATAATCTAATATGCTATCTATAATATTTTAGGAAAATGAATTAGAAGAAGATTTTAACCCTACTGAGTATGATCGTAAAATGCATGAATTATTCGATGAAGAATTTTATGATAAAATGGATGATGAGAAACCAGTATTTGATGATGAAGAGGATGAGTTTATTGTGAGTATATTCATTTTTAATTATTTACCTGTTAAAATGTATTATATTTTTATTAAAAATAAATTATGTCTGCTGTTGTACATTAAATGAATTTTTGTTTTATTAGATGGATTGTGACTATGATCCGAGTATGGACAAGAGAGCCAAAAAACAAACTAGAGCTGCAAAACGCAAAGAAAAAAAGAAAACAATTATTAATGATGTTGAAGATGAAGAAGAAATTAATCATAAAAAAATACCAAAATACAATCCAGCAAAAGGATCATTTGAAAAATACATTGATGAATATTACAGTTTGGATTGTGAAGATGTTGTTAGTGGTGTTCCAACCCGATATACTTACAATAAAGTTGTTCCAAATGATTATGGCCTGACAATTGACGAGGTTATTATAAAAATGTTACTGTAATTTATAATTAATATTCATAATTGTATGTGGTTTTTAGATTTTGAGAGCTGATGATAATGAACTTAATAAGTGGTATCCTCTTGGAAAATTGACAAAAATTCAACCTGAAGCTGTTCAAAAATTTGAAGCTAAGATTTACAAACGAAAAGCTAAAGATATTGAATTAAAAAAGAAAATGTTACCTAGTCTTTTTAAAGAAGAGTATGTTCTTAGACTTTAAAAAAAAAAAGTTATATTTAATTTTTAACTACAAACCAGATTTTTAGATTGTTATTTTTTCTACAAAATTTTGTATTACCATAATAATTAGTAATTACTAAAGAAATACACTT